AAACATTTCTTATTCAACGGCCATAAAAATTATTTCTATTAATGATGTCTCCAAAGTTCAACGAATTTTTCGCAGAAAAATAACTTATCAGAAAACGAGCCCGCCGTTTGGTGCACTGCTCCGCGACGAAAACAAGCTTGAGCAATGGCGTCGTCGAACGGTGCACACTCGGTAAGTAATCCTACAATTTTTTGTTTATAGCATAGTTTATACGGATTATTCCCAAAAAATTATAGGTGTTTTGGAAATGTTGAGTCAAATTAGTCTAGAATCGATTAATTTTATGGAAGAAAACCTTTCAAACAGCAGTAGTCCGTAAACTGCACACGTGCCGGGCTGTGATTGGCTCATGTATTTAAGGATTTCTACAACGTGAAATTCTTATAAAGTGGAACGTATCTAATGCGTTATAGGGGGATCGACTGTAATAAATATGTATATATTGTATATGTATATACATATAGATACAATATATATCATTTTATATATATTATATATTATGTGTATATATATATATACACACACATAATATATAATATATATAAAATGATATATATTGATGTATATAAAATGAATATTGATATATATAAAATAAATTTAAAGGTTTTAACTATATATATATAGTTAAAACCTTTAAATTCATTTTTCAGACAATTGAACCACCTGAATCCAAGAGAACAGCCATGTTAATTGTGATTAAGAACAGAGGGAAACTTTTTTATTTCACGTTGCAAATGTTTAAATTATTAGAGTTCATTAGTCTCACGTCACTGAAATTCTAACTCACATGAAATCAGACAATATTTTGCAATTATTAATTCTGTTTTTTCTGATGGCAAGCTTTATTTGCTTCAGATAAGATGCAGCCTTCAAGACAATAAAGTATTTCTTATTGATAAAACTATTCATTTTCTTTGTAACATGCAGATTATTTTTTTTACAGGGTACAGTTACACAGTACATCAAATCCCATTAGACGGCCGGATGGCCGAGCAGTCAAGGCGGCAGCCTACCCCTTTGGGCGGCCCAGAATCGAATCCGGACGGGTCGAATCTTTCGGGGGTGGTTTATCAGGATATGTCGGGTCCCGTTCCTCGCCACCCGGCTGCCACATTGTGGGCCTGGCCGAATCCACAATGAGCTTGTTAAAAGCGGCCCTCTTAGTGTCTACAGGGCAGAAAGAGTTTAAAAAAAAGTACATCAGTCCCAAAATAAAGTCTAAAGTGAAACAAAAAATAATATAAAATTTTCTCACCTACAATAACGTTTTCGGTTTATGTTTCGAATATGTTAATTATTATTCTGTTTTTTTTAATTGCATATTTAAGTATTTCGAAAATAAATGGCTTGTAAATAAATATTATTATTATTATTATTATTTTTGGTGGATAACTTAAATATTTTTTTTGAAAGAAGTTATATTTGTACTTCAAGTTAACAAATTTACTACAGAACATTAAAATGTTTATTAAAAAATTATGAAAAATCATAGCATTGAAACCTGTCTTTAGAAATTATCGACTTGTGAGTAACGTCACTCAGGATGTCGCTTCAGTTAAACCAATCAGCACATTCCCTAACGATGTCGTCATTTTTTGCTTAATATGTCAGGCAATAAGTGAATTTTATTTTATTTTCTCTCACTAGATGGCAGAATAACTTTCCCATTAATTGTGTTCATTTTTTTTATAGCACGCGTTAACTGAAAAGAATCGTGTGTTTAATACGTACTGTAGCGAACTTCCTCGTATTCCAATACCTGAACGGGAAGCTTACGTAACATTGTTTATAATGGCGGTGACATGTTTAATTTAAATGACTCAGCGGTCTGATTTTATTGTATTATGAAATTCGAAAAATGTTTTAATTTAAATAAACTGAAAAATTATGATCTTACGAATTAAAATATTTTTTTAAATAATTATATATTTGGATAACACTCATAATTTAAAAATTACAGCGATGATAGTGCGTCTTTTAAAATGACGTTAAAATCTGAAAATAGTTTTTCTACCCTGCTATTTCGATATATGAATAAATAAACTTTGGCCAAGTAAGATTGAAGCAAGGGAATTGAGGAAGTGAGATTTGAGCTAAAGGAAATGTATAAGATTCAGGAATGAACTCTCGCATATCTAGTCTAACGCGTGTGAAAGTATCGTATGCTTGTATGAACTCATTAGTAAATTGTTACCGAATTAGTTTGCCAATACTTTCGTGTTGGTGCTGCTAACATAACTCAAAGCATGGGACCGTAGTCCACAAATTTTAATAGCAGGAAAATTACTATTCTACAGAAATTTTGAATTTGAGTCATTTCCTTAAATAAACGGCTTTTATTTACGATACAGGAAATATTTAGTTTTTAATGCTATTTTATAAATTTTAAAACGTTTTCTTTCATCACATGCTATAAGTATATTATAAAATACATCAGAATTTATTTTTATTTAGGGAGAGGAAAAAAATTATGAGCTAGAAGAAAATATAAAAGAATATAAACAAATTATTGAGGTTAGTTTTATTTTTAATATTACAATGTAACTATGAAATTGAAATTATGTTGAATGAAGTAAGTTATGTTATACAATACTGTAATCAATGATATTATCATCATTTAATTAATGTTACCAAGATTAGCATGTCCTAAAGCACACAAATTAAAATACTGTATACTTACAAAACTTGTCATCAGAATTCAGTTATTGTTACAGTTTTCAGGTATTTTAGATTATCTCAATTATATGGGTTTGTTTCAATGCTAAACTGTGATTTACCGTTGATATGCTTATTATGACATTTAGACTGATCAAGATCACTTGTGTATTCAAGGAAAGATTTCTTAAAGAAACATTTTAAGTTACAAAATTTAATGTTTTTTTGCAAATGATAACTTTGACAAGTACTTAATTATTATTCTTTATAATAAACTTCATACACAGAAAATAAAAAGTGTGTTTAAAGTTTAAAATAAAGAGTATTATTTTATATGTCTTATGACAACAAAAGTTCTCAATAGATATCATCCCTATTATCATTTTTGATTTTTTCACATAATATATTTTGTAATAATAATTTTAAAAAATAATATTAAAAGATGTATACTGACTAATATAGCAGTATAATTAAATATTTTAAACATTTAAAATAAATTTAAAGGTTTTAACTATATATATATAGTTAAAACCTTTAAATTCATTTTTCAGACAATTGAACCACCTGAATCCAAGAGAACAGCCATGTTAATTGTGATTAAGAACAGAGGGAAACTTTTTTATTTCACGTTGCAAATGTTTAAATTATTAGAGTTCATTAGTCTCACGTCACTGAAATTCTAACTCACATGAAATCAGACAATATTTTGCAATTATTAATTCTGTTTTTTCTGATGGCAAGCTTTATTTGCTTCAGATAAGATGCAGCCTTCAAGACAATAAAGTATTTCTTATTGATAAAACTATTCATTTTCTTTGTAACATGCAGATTATTTTTTTTACAGGGTACAGTTACACAGTACATCAAATCCCATTAGACGGCCGGATGGCCGAGCAGTCAAGGCGGCAGCCTACCCCTTTGGGCGGCCCAGAATCGAATCCGGACGGGTCGAATCTTTCGGGGGTGGTTTATCAGGATATGTCGGGTCCCGTTCCTCGCCACCCGGCTGCCCCATTGTGGGCCTGGCCGAATCCACAATGAGCTTGTTAAAAGCGGCCCTCTTAGTGTCTACAGGGCAGAAAGAGTTTAAAAAAAAGTACATCAGTCCCAAAATAAAGTCTAAAGTGANGAATTTTTACAAAACTCTTCAGAATGTGAAGCTGACTTTGAAATATCAGTTTCACATTCTGAATCCAAAAATTAAATATTATAAAATGAAAACAGCAAATAGTCCTCTTATTAACACAAATATTAACAAATTTACTACAGAACATTAAAATGTTTATTAAAAAATTATGAAAAATCATAGCATTGAAACCTGTCTTTAGAAATTATCGACTTGTGAGTAACGTCACTCAGGATGTCGCTTCAGTTAAACCAATCAGCACATTCCCTAACGATGTCGTCATTTTTTGCTTAATATGTCAGGCAATAAGTGAATTTTATTTTATTTTCTCTCACTAGATGGCAGAATAACTTTCCCATTAATTGTGTTCATTTTTTTTATAGCACGCGTTAACTGAAAAGAATCGTGTGTTTAATACGTACTGTAGCGAACTTCCTCGTATTCCAATACCTGAACGGGAAGCTTACGTAACATTGTTTATAATGGCGGTGACATGTTTAATTTAAATGACTCAGCGGTCTGATTTTATTGTATTATGAAATTCGAAAAATGTTTTAATTTAAATAAACTGAAAAATTATGATCTTACGAATTAAAATATTTTTTTAAATAATTATATATTTGGATAACACTCATAATTTAAAAATTACAGCGATGATAGTGCGTCTTTTAAAATGACGTTAAAATCTGAAAATAGTTTTTCTACCCTGCTATTTCGATATATGAATAAATAAACTTTGGCCAAGTAAGATTGAAGCAAGGGAATTGAGGAAGTGAGATTTGAGCTAAAGGAAATGTATAAGATTCAGGAATGAACTCTCGCATATCTAGTCTAACGCGTGTGAAAGTATCGTATGCTTGTATGAACTCATTAGTAAATTGTTACCGAATTAGTTTGCCAATACTTTCGTGTTGGTGCTGCTAACATAACTCAAAGCATGGGACCGTAGTCCACAAATTTTAATAGCAGGAAAATTACTATTCTACAGAAATTTTGAATTTGAGTCATTTCCTTAAATAAACGGCTTTTATTTACGATACAGGAAATATTTAGTTTTTAATGCTATTTTATAAATTTTAAAACGTTTTCTTTCATCACATGCTATAAGTATATTATAAAATACATCAGAATTTATTTTTATTTAGGGAGAGGAAAAAAATTATGAGCTAGAAGAAAATATAAAAGAATATAAACAAATTATTGAGGTTAGTTTTATTTTTAATATTACAATGTAACTATGAAATTGAAATTATGTTGAATGAAGTAAGTTATGTTATACAATACTGTAATCAATGATATTATCATCATTTAATTAATGTTACCAAGATTAGCATGTCCTAAAGCACACAAATTAAAATACTGTATACTTACAAAACTTGTCATCAGAATTCAGTTATTGTTACAGTTTTCAGGTATTTTAGATTATCTCAATTATATGGGTTTGTTTCAATGCTAAACTGTGATTTACCGTTGATATGCTTATTATGACATTTAGACTGATCAAGATCACTTGTGTATTCAAGGAAAGATTTCTTAAAGAAACATTTTAAGTTACAAAATTTAATGTTTTTTTGCAAATGATAACTTTGACAAGTACTTAATTATTATTCTTTATAATAAACTTCATACACAGAAAATAAAAAGTGTGTTTAAAGTTTAAAATAAAGAGTATTATTTTATATGTCTTATGACAACAAAAGTTCTCAATAGATATCATCCCTATTATCATTTTTGATTTTTTCACATAATATATTTTGTAATAATAATTTTAAAAAATAATATTAAAAGATGTATACTGACTAATATAGCAGTATAATTAAATATTTTAAACATTTGCTTATTGCAAAAGATATAGTAATTATTTTGAAGGAATTAAATTGGAATAATCACTTATTGGAATTAAATTTAAATTATCATCATCTATTAACCATCTATAAGTGGTTAATAGATGATGATAGAGTAAAAAAATAAACTGAACTTTTGGCACAAGTTTTTATATACAACACACTAATTCTTACACCTCATTACCTTCAAAGTTCCTATTACATCTGCCAGCATCTACCACTTGTCAAAACAGTCCTGGAAGTAATTGTTTGTGATGTCTTTAATGAATTTTACCATTGCAGCTTCTACTCTGCTGCTTATTAGTGTCTGTATCCTTTCAACTTCTTTTTGTTTTAAGGAACAGATAAAAGTTTTCAGGGGCAAAATCAAGGAGTAAGAGGAGATTGAGGAAAGCATGATTATGTCTCTCATTTTCAGATATTTGCTAATCATTAATAACAGATTGAAGCCAAGGTAGAAGTGACTAGAGCCTTTAGAGACAACATAACAAGTTGTTTTCAGTATTGTTAGGGTGATCAGAGCAAAGAGACCACTCCAATAGCAGTTCTGTGACTTTATTTTAACATTCAATTACCCTATTCAATAGCTAAACTCCAGCAAAAAATCTTTTATTTATGCAGATGTTTTCGTCCACATTTCATTGGACATCATCAGGCTGTATAATTGGAAAATGTAGCTGCAATGTTTGAAAATTCAAAAATGTGATGTTTGAAAATTTGAATTTTCAAACATTGCATAAGTAAAGGATTTTTTTCTGGAGTTTAGGCTATTGAGTAGGATGATTGAATACAATATGTCCAGCATTTAGCTGTCGTTTATTATTATAGCAGTCAAATTTCGTGTGCATTTTGAAATATAGCATATAGTGTATGCAAATTAGTTAATTTAAAGTATCTAAATAGTGAAAAAAATGGATCCTATAGAGCTTCAGAACTCAATTGATGATTATCAATAACAGGTTTTTGTGAAGTTTGGTATCCTGATCAACTCATCAATTGCTGATAAAGCTGATATTGATCGAAACCTAAGAAAAGCATTAGAATAGATGACAAAACACCAAAAATTCAGCAAGGAAAACTTACTTAATGATTAAGTGAACATTTTCAGCTGTTTTCAGTAATCATTGTCAGGTTAATACACTCAAAAACACAAATTAGAACTTATATTTTGAAAATGAAGAATCCTGCATGTGACTGGACAATTGCCATGCAAATGAAGGTTATGCAGTTAAAAAACACAAATAGACTCCACAGAAATGAAAATTAGTAAAATATACATTAAGTATTGAATTTTCTTGGGGAGACGTCAAATAGTGATTTCTATGCCAAGGAATTAAGCTACTTGTTTAACAATTGAGCCATTGCTCCAATATACTCCCAATTAAGAGGCATGAGGAGGTACAGAAGTTACCATTGACAGGAAGAGAATTGCATCAAAAGGACCAATGAATTTCTGAGGGAATCTAGAGACTGGAGTCTGCAACTATCAAGGCAACAACTGTCATTCCATGCAAAACTGTTCAGTTTATAATAAAGGAAAAATTTGGTCTGAATGAAGTGCACAAAACCTGGGATCCATATGAATTGATGGTGGATCAGAAATTGAACTGAATTGCAGCATGTCAAAAAAATTTGCTTTGGTTTCATAAGACAAAGAAGTTTTTTGAGCATATACTATTAATTGACAAGCTGTGGATTCTCATGTACCGTACATCCAAAGTTTGGCTACACTACATGGAAAACTCATGGAAGGCTTTTGGCAAAAGAAGAGGAAGCTCTTAATAACTGTAGATTTTCATGGAATTGCTTTTTGGTGACTCCTTGAAAAAACCACTATGACTGTTGAAATCCATAAGGACTTTATTAACTACTTCATCAAAAAATGGAAAAGTGAAAAAAAAAAAAAAAAGTACAATATTGCTTGTGACAGTGACAGTGACAGTGCCATACTGCTAAATTGGTTCAATGGTACTTCAATGGATAAAGAATTTCACTTTAGATTCACTCACCTATTCACCCTATCTTTAGCCTTATATTCTAACTGTTTTGGTCCTCTAAAAGCTGCTACAAAGGGTACTTCATATTAAAATTGGGATGAGGTCAAAACTCTATTGAATAATGTGGTGTTACATGGTGTGACATGTGGCCTCTATCAAGGTGTTAAAATGCTGCCAGAGCAATGGGAATGAGTAATTACACAAGGGGTAAATTATATTTAATTATTGTAAAATTTCAATATTTTTGCCTGTATATTTTTTTCTTTATTTCCAACTTATTTAAAACCACTGATCACTTTGCTCTGGTCGTCATTATACCGTGACAAATGGCATGGATGCTGCAGAAGATGCTTACTTTGAAGCTAAGTCTTCTGTAAACATTTGCACTATTAATACAATAAAATTTAGAGTAAAAATAAACCAAACTTTTAATGTATCATATATTAATTCATTAATATGAATTAATTACTTATTCTGTACTTCAATGTTAATTCTGAATACCATAGTTGGTAAAACTGTTATCTTATAAAATTTCCCTTTTAATCTAATTTTAATTCTCCTATTGTAAAGAAATTTATTAGTCTGTTTCCACTTTTTCTTTACATTTATCCTATTTGCTACATCCATGTCTAATTTTCATTCTGCCTATATATATGATCATAAAAACTTGAATCTACCAATTTTTCTCTTATCAAAATTTTCCTCTATTTCTGCAACTTGCTGTCTTTAATAGTTTAAAATATTTTTAATTTTTAAACTTTTATTCTTTAATCTATCTCTAATGATTTCGTTTATTTTATCCTGTCTTGTTAATCTTTACTTAGAATAATCTCTTGTTAATCTTTACTTAGAATAATCTCTTGTTAATCTTTACTTAGAATAATCTCTTGTTAATCTTTACTTAGAATAATCTATTCTCCATCATGATATAAATTTTGTAAATTTAAAATTACACAATTTTCATTCAAAATATAAACTGTTTTTTTTATTATACTTTATTTTTTAATTAGATGATTAATGTTTATATTACTTTATTAATGCATTTATTAAAATGTTTTATTTTATAATTTTATTTTCGTTTTACAGAATTTAAGAGCTGAAAAAACAATATTTAATTTTGATAACATATTAACAGAAAAACAAATATTTAGGTGAGTTTATTATTTATGGAAGTATTATGTATTTGAAGTATTAAGTGATTAAAAACATTTGTGCAGGTTTTGCAATAGCTACTATTGTAAAATCCATACAAACTGTTCTGTTCATTGATATATTTTACAGTGTTGTAAATACTTTTTCCTTCAATTTAGTTAGTGTATATGTATTGAGAAAACTACACTTTTTATTCAAACACAAATGTTTAATCTGATTTTCACTTATAACGACATGTGGGTTGCCATTTTGGAAACACAAAATTTGAAACCAGATCTACACAAAAAAAAAAAATAAATAAACAGACTGACATAAAAAGTATTTAACATACAGGATAAATTTTTATATTAAGAAAAATTTGAATCAACCTATTTTTTTACATAGTGAATTTATAATTTAAAGATGGCCTAAAAATTTTTATTTTAAAAAATTGAACATAGTCATAATTTTCAGCTTACAAATAACAGAATAAAATGAATATTTTTAGAACAATTTATTAGAATGAAGATTCTTTAGAACAAAAATTTTTGAATAAAATAATTCAAATACATGTAATGGTTACAAATTAAACCAGTTCTTAATAAAAATTGTAAAGTTAGCTTCTTGTCCTTAATTAAATTGTTTTAAAGTATTGTCTGCTTGGGCTCTTTTTTAATTAAATGACAAATAAAAATAACAAACTGAATTCTTATGTTAAACTTTTCTATATAAAGAATATATTTGAAAGAATAAGAATAATATTACAGAATAATGGTATTAGCATAGTGATCAACAAACAAATCAAATAGGAAAGATGATACAGTATCAAAAATAAATGTAAAGAATTAAATAAAATTATGAAGACTACAGGTCTAGTTTATACATTTACTTGTAATTATAATGAAACCCCTAACATTTATATAGGTAAAACTAAAATAAAATTAAAAATCAGAATCAATGAACATATTAAATCTATTCAAAAAATTATGTGCACTCGGCAATGGCAAGACATTGCAATACCCAAGGATGTAAAGTTAAATACTTAAAAAAGAGGATAATTTATTTAAACATCAGTTATTAGAACACATTAAAATACTAAGTAATATTATTAATGTTATAAAGGTAGTCAAGGAAAATGTATACATGGATCATGGAAAAGTTTTGTATACAGTATGCAGGAGGAGCCATAATAAGGGGTGTTATGTAGTATCAGTAGTTATAAAATAGAATTTGGAATTTGCCATACAATCTCAAGTTTGAAATAAAAAAAATTAATAGAAAGTTATTTTATGTAATATATAAAGAATAAAGCTTCTTAGTTTGTTCTTTATATATTTTGACATGGTTTGAGCAAATGCATGAAACTTTTCAGCAGGGCCATGTCGTGCTATGATACAGAGAGGCGGCTGCATCAGGCAGCACTGTAAGGGGCATAAGCAGCATTTAAGGGGCCGCATTTCAAAGACTTGCATCATACTGAGAAAATCTGCCACATGACCCTGTTTTCAGGGACCATCCTCTCATTCAGGAGGAGGTAAACAACTATTTTTAGTCAAATTAACTTCAATCCCCACTTGCAACAGGCTCCCTTTCTATCTGACCAATGGAATGATGATGTTTGTATAGAAAAATTACTTAATACAAAAGTTATCAGCAAGCACAAAATATATTTTTAGGGGTTTTAAAATGTGCCAAGTTTAAATATTTGGTCCATTTTTAATGAAATATTTGATTGATTGACTGATAACCATTTAATATTTGGCTGTGAATTGTATGTTAGAGTTAACATTAGAAAAAAATTTGGCAGTCTTGAATTATCTTCTCATGTATGCGAAAGTCAATGACTATTTCCTGTTGAAAAACATCAATTCCTGTCTATCTGATCACTGAAATTGCATTGTTCCATAGCATCTGAATATTGCGTTCTTAGAAAGCACAAAACATGTACTAAGATTTTCAGTGTGCCAAGTATGAATATTTGGTCTATTTGCCTCAAAATGTGATTGTTCATTTGTTTTTATATTTGTTATACAAATTTAAATGAGATAAATTTTGTTTTACTTTTTTAAAGTAGATTTTTGTCATTTTTATTCAGTTTTTTTAAATTTTTTTTATTATAATGTAAGACTTTATGATAAACATAACAATGACAGGCTAAAATAACCAAATTTTTAATATTGTTTTTATTTTAATGTTTTTTGTTATTACCATTGTCCAGGCAGTGCTGGGCCCATCTGCTAGCTATTTATAAATTAAATTACTTTTTTTCTTGATATAAAATTTCTCAGTTCAAATAATTTTATAGTTTTGTGGCTGGATAGCCGAGCAGTCAAGATGGCAGTCTACCGCTCTGAGGGATCCAGAATCAAATCCAGATGGGTCAAATAATCCCCATGAATTTTTTGGGGGTGGTTCATTCAGATATGTTGGGCCCTGTCCCTCACCACCCAGTTGCCCATTGTCGGTCTGGCAAAACTCATAATAGGCTTGCTAAAAGAGGCCCTCTTAGTGCTCACAGGGCGGAAAGAGTTTAAAAAAATTTATAATTTCAAAACAACTGCAGATATTTGCAGTTTGACTTTTCTGGATATGAGCTCATGATGTATGTGAAATAGTTAAAATGTTGAAATTGGGAATTTTGATGTTGATGATGTCAATGAGTTGCTAGAAAGTCATAGAGATATTTTTAAAGAAAGATGCTCTACCAAGCTGCAACACAACTTACTAAAGAGAACAGAAAAAAGTACAAAGTAAGTTGAGAAGATGCTACCATTCTGGACTCTTACCACAAAACACTTAAAGCTTTAACATAAATACAAACTGCCTGTGAATTTCCTGATAGTGATCCTAACTGGGAACACATGTATTCTATCCAAAGACCTGTAACAAATGCTCTGAAACCATATTATGAATTGTTGGAGGTGAAAGAAAAAGGGACAATAGAAATCCTTACTGAAATTCTTAGCCAGGAAAACCTCAGAGCTTCTCCAGTGGCACGCTAACGGGAGCAAGGGGAATGATTACTCCTCTAAGGCGTATTTTTGAAAAGTGGTGCTTTTTCAATTCTAGTTCACTTACACAATAAAAGTTGAATCTCATTTTTTTATTGTTTTTTTTTTTTTTATCTTTTGTACTTGGAAGAACTTTCTAGTCATTACTTTGTTTGACCAATCTTCCAGTGTTTTGAACTATGTTTAATCTCCTGTGATGCATTGGTTGATCCACTGGCATCTGGAGAACCAAAACAAACTATAATGTCATAACATCCTCTCTGATGCTGGACAATTCCATAGAGTTTCATCTTTCTAATGTCACAACTACACTGGTAATTTTCATACATAATGACATTATTAGCTTAAACATGATATTAATTAATGAATGTAGAATATGATTATTTATATTATAGTTGCTTTTAGTTTAAGTTGTTATTTTTCATTTTATTACGAGGATGTTATATCATGTCTAATGTTATGATTGTGTAGAAAAACAATTACAGATTTTTTTTAATAAGGAATGCCATAGTAAAAAACAGTAAAAAGAAGAAACTATCTAGATGGGACAGAAAGAAGATTAAAGTTCCAAATCAAGAAAAAGAATCATCAAAATATCAGAGATTGGATTGGATGCCTACTTTTCATTTGGCAAACATACATATGTGCCAGAGGTGCAGCGGTGGGGCAAGACCTAAATTTGATGTGGGCAAGGTACATTTTGCAAGGCCTTCTGGTGGCGCAAGAAGACAGATTTTATAAAATAAAAATCAGTTAAAACTGTCAAATTTTGATTCCTAAAAATGCAAACTATATTCTTTAACTAACGTTAAAAAAAAATTAAAGAAACAGAAATTTCCTGCTTTTAGCCTTACTGAACTCCTTAATAATTGTATTGTAATTCAGCTTAGATGCTATATATGCTTCAATAGATAAAACTGCCAAAGCTGAAAGTCTTTCCTGATCCATTGTATTTCTTAAATAATTTTTTATTAGTTTTAATATTGAAAAGCTTCTTTCAGTGTAGACAGTATTTACCAGTATTGTTAACAAAATTCGAATGGCAATGTAAATATTTGGGTAAATTTCTTCAGCTGTTTCACATCTTTAATGAAGTTGGGTAAATTTGGGATCATTGTTTGTAATTCTTCATATAATTCGTAAGGTTGTAAGTCACTGCTCTCACTCACTCACAGGACTGAATGTAAATCTTGACAGTTTTTTAATATTTGCTCTATGGGAATATTTTTCAACTTGCTTAGATCATAGAGAAAACCAAAAATTTTCAAAATATTGATTTAAAGAAATAAATCCCGAATCTATATTGCTTATTATAAAATCAATCATGGTGTTAACAAAATCTGTTTCATACCTGCTTTTGGGAGACTGTATAGGTTGATCGCTACCTTCATCATCGAACATCCTTTTCTTTTCAACTACCCTTTTGTTTTTAAAGTCTTTTGGCAGTTCATAACTGCTATTCTCAATAAATTGACGAGTGTCAGACAAGCATTTTTCAAATCCAGTTTGTCGATATTCTTTGATTCAGTCACAAAATGTACGCAAATGTTCAAGAGCATTGCTTAAATGGACTTGTAAAGATTGCCATAATTTGCTTATGATATTAACATGCGATAATATCTCATACTATACATGTAATTATATGATAAATTCTAAACTGAGCATTTCATTTAAAACCAAATCACAATCACTGAGTGTGTCTGATTTTTTAAGCTTTCGATGCATTCAACATCAAATTGCAATAATACGGCCTTCACTGCCTCAATTCTGCTTTCTCACCTTGTGTCTGATAAAGGCTTCATAGTAAGCTTTAATTTGCCTTTGATTAATTCCCAGCGTTTGCTGGAACTTGAAAATAGCAAATAAATTTTCTGAATAAAACCAAAAAATGTTTTTGCTGCCACAGAAGAATTAGCTGCGTCTACCAACAGCAGATTCCAGCTATGACAACCACAAAGTGTAAAAAATGCCCTGGGATTAATATTTAATATTCGAGTTTTAACTCCACT